AGAATTCTGAGCTATGGCTGCAAATCGCCCCAGCAAGTGCTGTGTGTGGGGAGCTGGGTCTACCCTCCCTAGAGAGAGCGTTCCCTCCGACAACAGTGCTCAAACGAAATTTGCTTCTTTAGAGATTGAACATCTGCTCGAACTAAGCTCTTCTTCTCAGAACATCCTGCTATTCAGGCCGTCTCAGACAGATGCCCAGCTGGAAATCTGGTTTGCTTTAATCCGGCACATTACGGTGTTTAAAATTTCTCGAACAAGGATGAAACATTTCCAATAGCAAAATTCATGTGACATGAAATTCAAAAAAACAATGTCAGTGTTTCCCTTGCAAATTTATTTCCTGATTGAGTGGTTGTGGTGATCCTTGTCAGAGCAGAGAAACTTTTGACCCCTTAATGCCTGAAAGACTCTTTTGCGGAGAAGGAGTGTCTGTCTCTGAGCCTAGAACGCAGACAGCAGCTCTGTCCAGAGTCATTCTGCTGCTACGGGTTTGCACTGCACTTCCACTGGAGTTCCTGTACGGTCTTTCCGAACCATTGTGAGTGGAGACGCAACATCTATCAAGAGACCTATAAAGCATGGAAGTGCATTTATCGTGGAGAACCCAGTGTTTAAAACAAAGACTACTTCATGATGTCTGTTCTCGGCTTCTGCAGTGTTTTCGTGGTGCGTCGATGCGTCGCCGGGACGTTTGGAGTTATTTCCTTAGCACCGTGAACAAATCTCAAAGAGGAATATGTGGAGAATCGATATACATTAACCGAGAACATGTCCCGACATGTTTTAATGTGAATGAGGCTCGAAGAAATTCGGCTTAAGTGGATGTCTAGGGCCCTGGTCTCGTCGTCCGCTGGTCTGTCCGTTACCTCGCTTCTTTTGCACCTGTCCCGGCTGTTCGAGTCTGATCCTCCTTTCTTGGACTGTCCCGTGTGTCCTACCTCGCCTTTGGACTTCCTCGACTTGCCTCCCTGGAAAATCCACTTTCCTTCCGTGCTGCTCGGGCTGCTGCTTGGAATCTTCTTGTTTCCAGCCCTGGAGCTCGTGCTGTGCCTCAGAGGGTTGCTTTGGGTTCGGTTGGATAGGTACCTTAGGCCTCCCTTTAGGTACCGGATCCTTAGCTCGTAAAGGGTTGCATGAGCCTCGAGCTTCGTGTCCAGCACCTTGAGGAGTTGGTGGTCGAGCTGCGAGAGCAGGTGCGTGCGCTGCAGGCGCGACTGGACGAAGTGACCAGCCCGCTGGGTTTCGACCTGGTGCAGCCGCTCCCCACCTCTAGTTCGCCCCCTCAGGTTGTTAGGGTCGCCCCTAGTCCCGAGCACCCTAGGTCCCAGAGCCCGGTCGCTAGCACCCCTTGCCTCACTGCGTGGAATACGGGGCCAGCTCCTTCAGTGCCAGAGCGTAGCCCTCCCTCGGTGTCAGCCACAGAGCGTGCAGCAGCTTGCAGAGAGATCGGCTTGTTTTTGCGCCGGTCCCTGGACGGAGCTCACAGGGGCGCTTCAGGCCGAGACCGCTTGCCGCTCCAGTCGCGGTATTGGCTTGTCGTGAGAGATTTCAGGGGTGAGGTGTTTTCGCCGATCAAGGTGTGCCGCAGTTTCAGTGAGTGCGCTGCCTGCTGCAAGAGGGGATCAGATTGTGGCGATTCGATCTTCGTCGGCCTGCCGGCTCGGCAGGACATTCTGAGCGTTTGTGCCGCAGCCAACCTTGTCTTGCCGAACAGTTGGTGAGATGGAGGAGGAAGTTGGAGGATTGGACGGTGAAGCCCTGGCCGCCAGGGATTGTGCCTGTGTGGGTGAGGGGTTCCTTGACCCTCTTGCCCCTCTTTGCGTGCTTGCCTGCGGCGAAGACGAAGAGGGTTTTCCGGTTACGGTTCACTGCGTGGTTGTGGGGGACGTGCAAGGCAAGCTTTTAATATGCCTTCCAGCAGCTGCGTGGCGTCGCAAAGTTGCCAAAAGGACGGTGCCGCGTGGATTCCTCAGCAAAGTCATAGCAGCAGAAGTTGCAGCAGCTTCGGGGGCCGAGCGTGCGGTCGAGCTGCCTGGGCAAACGGTGCGCGTGTGGTTGGGTTTCTGCGAAGGAGAGGCCGAGCAGTCCATACAGGTTTCAGACGCCCCTCCTTCGGTCAACTTCGGAGCCCTTCCCAACGGCGATCTTCTCGTGCCCTTTGCCGAGGCTTTGGCCTTACTGTGGCAGCATCAGGTGTCTGGAAGTGCTACCACCCCGATGCATACAGCAAACGAGGGCACAGAGGCGCCGGGAAGTTTGCCCGAGCGCCTGGCTTCCATCGAGCGGACCTTAGCCTCGCTCGTGCCCTCTTTGGGTTCGGGCGCCACTGTGCCAGCAGCCCCTCAGCCGGTTACTCGTGCAAAAGCAGGCCCTGCGGTTCCTCAGCTTGGCGCTTCGGCTGCTGCTCGGCCTCAGGAGTTGGGAGAGCCGGTTGCTTACCCCGGCTTGGACCAGAGCGTGGTTGCAGCTGCTCTGGCTTCAGGCGTCGCACCTCACGTGCTTGGCGAGATGAGTCGCTTGGTGGAGGCTCGCCCGCTGCACCGTCTGAGGGCCGAACCTCAGCAAGGAGCAGCCACTCGGCGACCTACACCTCTGGACGAGTCGGAGGAGGAGGCCGAAGCATACGAGCCCGTGGGAGCACCGGCCGTGGCCGCTTCCAGCGCACAACCGGCGAAGAATCTGGAGTCGGCCGAAGCATTTGCACAGGCGATGGTTCGGTGCCTCGACTCTTTAAAATCTGGGTCAGGCAAGCAGACAGCTCTAGACAGAGCTCTCGATGCCAGCGGCGGTGGCTCCCTGGACGGCTCCCTCAACTCTGGTCGTCGGAACGCAGCAGCTCGCAAGGCACTTCGGGATTCCCTTGCTTCAGCTCCTCAGGAAATCAGCAAGATGATCGAGTCCTTGATGGCAGAGGACCTCAATGCGAGCACGCCCGGCGCTGGATCGCCCGTGCTTACTTCTACAAGGGCGTGGCTAGAACACAGGAGTCGGATTCAGGCCTTTCCAAGCATGGTTCATCTCACGTGGGCTATTGCTGGAGCCCTGGATTGCATCAGGGCCCAAAAGCCCGAACAAGCACGGGCCAGGCTGAACATAGCCCTCCTTCAAGCAGATCAGTGCTCAATCGACCGTGGCAGCTGGCTGCTGGCACAAGAATTGAGCCTGGAATTGGGGCCCCCAATGAGCTCGTTCAGGAGACACGAAAGCACTTCGTCAGCGGGGGATCCGGCATACAGCCGGCTGCTGGACCCCCGGTGGGCAGAGATAGCTCTTTCCAGGCTGCGGGAGGAGGCCGAGTTCACAGATCGCCGCCAGAAGCTGTCGCACCGCACGACCACCACCAACAAGGAGCAGGACGAGCAGACAGCAGATCCGAGCGAGCGGCCTCCTCGAAAGCCGCCCCGCAGACCGCCACAAAAGCCGGATGCATGAGCAGTGCTGGAGTTCGGCGAGCACCCGGCTCGGAGGCTCCGTGCTTGTCGCTGCCAGCCCTGTGGAATTCGATGCCGCGAGCCCTTTGTCGCTGCTCCGGCTCTTTTGCTTCGTTTCTTCGCTCTGCCCTCCGTTCGGAGCCCAATCGTGCTCCCACGCCGTTCACCTGGCCTTGTCCTTTGCCTTTCCCTGAAGCCTCGGATGCCAACAGACCCGGCCTGTGGAAAAAGCGGTTGATCAATCTCACTGTGGCCCGCTTGTCCTATGAACATTTGGGTTGCCCTTCTTCCTGCCCTTCGACAATCCGTCTTGGGGTGCCTCTCAACCGCAAGCAATGGCAACAGGTCAAGAACCTTGAGCATTTGGTGTTCGGCAGTTTTTTCCCTTTGACTTTTGAGCCACAGGACTATGGACGAATAGGTCATAAGGTTGAGGGCCAAGCAAAAACTTTGAGTGCTTTGGGCCGTGCTGCCGCTTCTGTTTGCAGGGGCTTCTCAGCCGGGTACTTGCCTCGCTCTGTTTCTGTGGAGGGTGCGCCTTCTGACTTGGGGCCGTCCCCAGTCCAGATCGTTGGCACTCTGCCTGGAAAACCGGACATTGCTGCTATGCCTATCGTGGCCGACCGCGTGAAGCTTCCAGCGTGCCCGACTTTTGTGGCCTCACCTTATATGGACCGCACGACTGCGGACTTCTTTGAAAATCCGCTGCACCACGCCAGGGTTCCCGACCCTGCTGCCGAACGGCCTCCTTTCGTAAAGATATTGGCCGACTCCCGGCAGAAGCTTTTGTTGTTGCAAGCTTTGGCCCGTTCTGGGCGACTCGAGCCTTTGAGCTCCGTGCCTCGTGAGCGTGAGGATTGGGGCGCGGGCCTCTTCGCAGTTGCCAAGGATGGTGCCAGGGATCGCTTGGTGCTAGACGCACGACCAGCCAACGAGCTCGAAAACTTTCCTGGCAGATGGGTGCACACGCTTGCTAGTGCAGCTTGCCTCGGGTGTTTGAATTTGCGGCCAGACGAGGTGCTCATGATGTGTGGCACCGACCTGCAAGATTGCTTCTATCAGTTCAAGGCGACACCAGAAAGACTTGTTCGAAATCACCTTGCGTGCAAACTGACCCTCAGTGAAGCTGCCTTTGTGTTCGGGCGACCCGCTGACTCCTTCCAGGCTCCTGGCGGCTTCGTTTGGTGCGGGCTCTCATCCCTGGCTATGGGCGACAGTTCAGCGTGCGAGTTCGCACAGTGCAGCCACCTGGGCGTTTTGGCTCAGGCCAGAGTTGTGCATGCAGGTGAGCTCTTGGTGCAAGCAGCCGCTCCTCCAAGGGGCTTACTGTCTGTCGGCCTCGTCATCGACGATTTGATAGTGTTGCAAAGGTGCCTCGCTTCACAGCTCCCGTTCTTTGCAGAGAATCCAGGTAGGTCGGAAGCCTCCACACGACTGCGAAGGGCTCTGGCTGGGTACGACTCAGCGCGGCTCAGGTACAGTGATAAGAAGACGTTTGAGGACAAAACCCAGGCTTCGTTTTGGGGGGTCGACTGTTGCGGGGTCTCCGGTCTCATTCGAGCCAACCCTGCCCGGTACTGGCCCTTGGTGCTGATCACCGTGCGAGTTCTTCAGCTGGGACTTGCAACCAGGAGTTTGCTTGAAAGCCTACTCGGTTCCTGGGTTTCAGTCTTCATGTTGCGCCGGCGCATGCTTAGCTTGGTCCTTTGCTGCTGTGCGCGGTGGGACGGCCCA